TTGGGGACTGGGGTTGGTCGGATAATTGAAAAGTCGGATAACCGAAAAGTATGAAAAAATCCATTATTAGTGTAGTATATTATTATATCCCATGTAATTAGTATATTAGTATATCGCTATTAACCAACTTTGCGTTGAATTTTCATCGATGTTTAGCCTAACAAATTTTTTAAAAAATAATAAATGTCGCTATTGTATCGTTAAAAATTATTTTTAAATTATTTTATTGCTCACAAAATAAACAACCACTCATAATTAGAAAATTAAGCCTCGTTTAAATACTGGCCTCCCTTTCATGGTTGAGCCAGTGTAGCCAGCTAAAACACGCAAAAATTTAACAAAAATAATATTAAAGTAGCCAAGACATAGCCAAATATTGTAGCGCCACATCACTAGCAGACATTTGAATTTGCCGACTAGAACGCGGTCGGTTAACCAAGGTGACGGTTAGTCGGGAGTTGGATAATCGATGCTGTAGTGTAGTTTTGTTTCCAGAGAACTAAACAGAAAAATTATAAAATTCTTTGTTAAGATAGTCAATATAAAAAATGTTCCAATGTTACAAATGCATAAAATATTAAAATGCTAAAACCATACAATAAACAAAAAATTGTGTGAAAATTTTCACATATGATTTAAATGTTACTGAAACAGACAGAAAGTATCATGACACCATAGCTCAAAATCTTTCTTTGTTGGCTGAAAATGTATAAAAATGAAAAGTTTGCTTATGAAAAGCAATTAAAAATTATAAAAGTATTTTCCTCTAAATTGCTCTAAAATCAAGGACTTTCTATATTTGGATTTAATAGAATTCTTAAATATCAGACAGTCCTTTTTCCAAATAGTTTGTTAAATTGAAAATTTGCTATACTATTATGATCCAACTGTAAATATATAAAAAAATGTAAACAAATACAAAATTAATAATGAAAACCATCCAAGTACTATTGTTGTTAAAGCTAATAAGTGATAATCTACTATTAAAACAGTCCTTCTGGTACACATGTGGTAAAGATATTAAAAAATCTCAAATAACATGCAAAATAGGATTTAGAACACTTCCTCACATTGTGACACTGTGTGGGATGTAATAAGCAAATTTTGGAGTACTGGTTCCACCAAGTAACCACACCAAGAAGTGATAAACCTGAAGATGAAAAACAAGGCACTACTGTTCATAAATTGCTGGCAAGCCCATCAAAGTGTCCATAAAGCAGTCAAAAGACAATATGGTTCTTAATTTACAAAGTACAGATCATTCACAAATTGTAAACTGCCAATCAAACTAAAAGAATGTGACACTATCAATGGTTCCTAAACTTCATAGCAGAACATGAAATCAAAAGTGATGGATGACTGCTTTTTCACAAATGAGGCATGGTTCCATCTATCAAGGATATGCAAATTCACAAAACTCATGATTAAAGTGAATCTGCATGCATTTTATAAACATCCTCTGTTTATTGAAAAAGTTAATGTTTAAATAGCAATTTCTAAAAAATGAATAATGGAATTCTTTGATAGCACTGTTTTGAGACATTCTAATTCAGACCAAATTTCCAGAAAATGAATGAATTCCCTCACTTTACATGAAATATAAGTGTCTCTAACTATTACATTCTCACATTTTCCAGTTTTCTTAGTGAGGGAGTATTTTCATATTTACTTCTGTAATAGATTTGGTACATCATCTGAATTTTTTAAATGCATATATAATAAAATAAATAAGTAAAATGTTTATACATAATTTTTTAAGATTAAATAAATTAATATGACCAAATTGAATAATAATAAAAAAAATGAATAACAGAGGTTATTAATATAGCAAAATACTTATTACATACAGAGTGATTTCAAAGCTGACTACAGCTAAGCTGCCAACTGTTCATTAGATTTATGATTCATGTTTTCAAATTATTATTATTATATATAAAATCATCTGAACATAAAACTATATAAATTATAAAATATTTAAATTATATAAAATATATAATAAAAACTGAACATAAAACTATATAATTATAAAATATAGGTACATATAGACAGTGCTGTTTGAAAATACAGTACAGGTGTAATGCTATTATATGCAATTGAAGGCGTAGTGCATTTCTAAAAATATGTAT